TCTCTCTCTCTCTCTCACACACACACACACACGCGCGCGCGCGCACACACATACACATGATGAGCAAAACTCCGCATTTGAACAATCAATAGCAAATACTTAAACTAATAACAAAACATACTTACAGTAGCTGATTCAGAAGCGCCAGATTGTCATAGCAAAGTCAGAATTACCTCCTCTCCTAGGTTCACGAAACGGTCGTCCATAAAATGCATTGCTGTTCTGTTGTAAGTAATCTTAAAGATTCCTAAATGCATCTACTTTCGGAAGGCCAAATAAAGTGCTTTTGCTTTCGTCTAGAAACACACAGCGTCTCCCTGACATGGCTGCTTCAACACTAACTGCGGTTACTGAAACCACACCTTCTTTCTTTGCGTGCACATTTGGGCGCATTATGCAAATATTCCCACATAGTGACCTAGATATGTGGGGGCGTGTTAGAACGAGCCGTTTTCGGGGGGCGTGGCAGAGTCTTAACTTTGATAAAGAATATCTCTTTGGTTTTGAGACTTTAGTCTTTGCAACTTCAGGGATCTTATCTATGCACAATCAGCTTGTAACACTCCAAAGAGAAAGGAAAACTTTAAATCACATCATATGACCCCTTTAAGAAATCTGAAGTAAACATATGATATGTTTTTCTCCAGTGTATGGAAGTGTACAGAAGTTGTTTTCCCCCTACAGTGGATTCATAAAAGGCTCATAGCCTATTGCATATTACAGGGTTAGTTCACCAAAAAAATAAAAATTCTGTCATTAATTACTCACCCTCACCCCACATATTCAGAACACCAATTAAGATATTTCTGATGAAATCCAAGAGTTCTCTAACCCTCCATAGACAGCAATGCAACTGCAATGTTTCCAGGTCCAGAAACATAGCAAGTACATCGGTAAAATAGTCCATGTAACATCAGTGGTTTAACCGTAATTTTATGAAGCTAAGAGTATAATTTTGTGTGAGTAAAGGAAAACAATAATAACAATTTATTCAGCAATTCTTCTCCCCGAGTTACCATCTTCCGCCATTTTGGAGAGTACCCCAGAACATAATCAATGTAATCAGCGATGTTTACGTTCAGCATGCGCACGCTTTCTACTAATTATTTTTATTCTAATACTTATTACTATTACTATACTATTATTAAAATTATTGTTTTCTTTGCACACAAAAAGTATTCTCGTGGCATTGTAAAATCACGGTTGAACCCCTGATGTCACATGGACTATTTTACCGATGTCCTTGCTACGTTTCTGGACCTGGCAACATTTCAGTTGTGTTGCAGCCTATGGAGGGTCAGAGAACTCTCAGAATTCATCCAAAATATCTTAATTTGAGTTCCAAAGATGAACGAAGGTCTTACGGGTTTGGAACGACATGAGGGTGAGTAATTAATAATATAGTTTTCATTTTGGGGTGAACTAACCCTTTAACAGCAGATGCTGCTTGACTCACCTTGAATTCGGAGAGCCAGTCTTCCACTATACCTCTATCTGTCGCCATCACCACTACCTGAGACAGACAGACAGAAATCCTGCAGATTACAGTCATGGCCTTATTAGGAACATGTGTATTTTCTAAATCAACTCATCAGTGGGTTGTCTGGGTGACTAGGCCAGTATAGTACAGCTGGTTTAAGGTCATGAACACCAGACAGACACCAACCAGACATGTTTCCTAAGACCCTTGCAATTAATCAAAACAAAACTTGAAAAACACAAATCTACACATTAAGAAAAACCCTACCAAACCTTCACTTCAATTAAGAACAATCAGTTGCAGATTATATGTCCATATGTAGTTATATTGATGCTAAAAATGTACCAAACATGTAAAACAGCCCTATTTAGAGAGAGGCTTCTTCTCTGCCCAATCTCTCTTCCACCTTCAGATAGCCAGGACCAAGTTAAAACTGCAATTGAAGTGTAGTAGCATCTCAAAGATGACCCAGAGAAAAATGGGATGCACCTGTGCTAAGTTTCAAGAGAAAAAGAAAAAATGGTCTATTTCACTTTTCTTTTTCTGGTTCTGGTTTTTGTGCTGTCATGATGGAGTATGGAATGTAGACTGATGAATAAGGCTGCAACAATAACAGAATTTGAAGAAATGAAGGGACCTGAATACTTTCTGAGAAAATATATGCTCAAGCTATTAGTGCGCCGCTCACCACAGCTCCGTGAAGCAAGAGAGATGCTCCCTATGATACTGAGATTTCAGTAACTAATGACTCCATCACACCCAACACAGTACTAATGTTCAGATTTAGTGTTGCTACTGAGGTGCCAGGGCTGCGTTTCCCGAAACCTTCTTAAAGCTACATCATTCTTAAGTTGTACCTTAACCTGTACCTTATCGTTAATACGTGTTTCCCGAAACATTCTTAGTTAAGTATACCTTCTGTAAGTCATACTTTCGTAAGGTTGGTCTGGACCACTCTTAGCTATACCTTATCACTTTTGACAGTTCACAGTTCTTTACATCTCATTCTATAAGAATATAATAGTTGGGCAAAACCAAAGACAGCGTCATCCGTGGAGCCATATTGTGTATATGTGCACTAAAATTTTGCTGGCACGGCAGCAAATTCAGCAGCTTTAAAATCTTGTTAATAACAGAAATGAGTGATTTATACCAATATGTGATGCTTCTGCTGGACAATCAACCCTAGTAGTGGAGTAGATGAAGACACTATGGAAAATATGTTATGATCATATAAATGACCCATTCAAAGGCCAGTGAAGGCATACTGTCAGTTAGTGATAAGGGCTACGTTTGGCCATGAGGTTGCGGGTTCGCGCACTTATTTCAAAATTATATAAAAATATCCTGGGTTAGATTTAGTTTGCAATTTGGATTGTTTTTTTTAAGATCCCACACTTGTTGGCAAGCACTCTTACCACAATGTTTTTCTGTTAGACTTGTGTAGGTCCAAGGTGTTTTTTTCTCTCTCTCTCTCTTCTGTTAAAAGCTGTTAAATTAAGCAGTGTCTCATGTAAGTTTTTTTCTTTGTATTTTATGTGGTGACCACTGGGAGGTGCTCTAGGCATATATTTTTCTTTCTTGGTTTTCTTCCCTGACGTGATGTATGTTGCAAAGCGAAAGTGAAAGTTTCACGCAAGTTCATTGCATTCTAGCAGGAAAGAGTTCTGTGTCTTTATTTAAAATCAACACTTCTTTCAGAAAGAACACCGCTTTCTCACGTAACGCAGTGAAGCGACCCGTGCATTAGGGGTGGGAATCTCTAGGCACCTCACGATACGATTCAGAGGGCTGCGATGCAATGATAAAACGATTATCAATGCATCTTTTGTTTTAATACAGACTTTCTTTTTTCTCACTGTCTGACTATTAAAGCAAAGTATCTGGAATGACCCATAATGAATTCACTTTCCTGATCTTTTATTAATGAAACAAATGGAAGTGATTTGGCAAGTCAACAGTAAGGTTGCAAAGAACCAACGGGAGATGAAACGTGCCTGTAGCAGCATACTTGTAGTAAATTAATTCAGACTTAAGCATATTCTGTAATATGGTTTCTCATATTTGTTGTGTTTCCAAAATATTTTAGTTTAGCTTGACACAACTTGCATATAGTGTGGCTCTTGTCCAGGGTCTTTCCCCCTTTAACTTCTTAGAAGCCAAAGTGCTTCCATACGCTAGCTTTTAATGCAGACGGTGACGGTCTAATTTCATGCCCTGCCATCATGCATCTGTTACCCCTTTTGTCAATGCTTGTGTTTACACCAGCCTCACCACAGCACGTTTCTGAAGCACTGCCTTCAACTGCACAAAACGCTTTCACTACGAGAGAAAGCAGCAGCTGCGTGGTGATTCCACCGCTTGGCGCGTCCCGTGTGAAAAGGCCTTAATGCTTCTGGTGTGAGCTGGCAATGCGTAGAGGACAAAACAAAACCTTGTCGGAGCCGTAACGCGCCGCAGACGCATGCAATGTAAATAAGGGGTTAGAGTTCTGCCTTTTGCGTTCCGTCAACATCACGTTATCAATTAACATTCAGAAATAGAAAATCGATTTTTGACATTTGTGAATCAATTCAGAATCATCCACATCTACATCGTGATGCATCTAAGAATCAAATTTTCCCCCCACCCCTAGCGTGCATAGAATGAATAATCTATTCTCGAGCCATTGATATCAACCGATTCAGCACCACCGCCATGGACGCCTGGTAACGTAGCACGTAAGGAGGTATACCTTAAACAACCTCCTAAGGTATAGTTCGGGGATCACGCCTAGAAATGGTACACCTTTAGTTAAGACATACCTTTAGAGTCTTTGTAGCATGTTAAGAGACAGTGTTATCGGGAAACACAGCCCAGAGCTCTGTGTGTGTGTGTGTGTGTGTGTGTGTGTTAGTGTGCGAGCGCCTGTGTGTGTGTGTGTGTTTGTGTGTGAGTGTGAAAGAGAGTGAGGGTGTGTGTGTGTGTGTGTGTGTGTGTGTGTGTGTGTGTTTTATCTGGTGTGTGTTGCTTTTGTAGATAATTCAGAACACCACGGACACCCTGCAAAACCTCACGGCCCGAAACGTGACCGACTTCCTGCTCAAGAACTACCAGAAATCAGGAAAGATAAGG